AAAAAAAAAAAAAAAAAAAAAAAAAAAAAAATTCAAAGTGGCTGGGTGTGGTGGCGCACACCTGTAATCCCAGCACTTGGGAGACTGAGGCAGGAGGATCACTGTGAGCCTGAGCTACATAGTGAGTTCCAGGTCAGTCTGAACTACATAGTGAGACCCTGTCTCAAAAAACCAAAAAAAGAAAATTAGTGACTAATCTATTGCGAAGTGAATGTAAAAATTCCTACAAAACACATTAAAAGAGGACCTGTCCCAGGAATCTCTGAATGGCTTCATTCGGCACGGTGGTTCTCAAACTCAGCTGGTTGCACAAGGAAACCATTACGAGTTCTTAAAAATCCAAAAGCCCAGGCCACCTAACTTAGAACCTCTAGGGGCTGGAGGCAGGCATTAGCATTGCTTAAAGCTCCTTACATGAGGTCCAAAATATGGCCAACTTTGAAAACCCCTGCATTAGGGAATTTAAAAGTAGAACTCATCACAGGGAACAGATCAAAGGAGAAAAATAAAGTCAGCTCTGTGGACACAGACTTGAGCAAAACCCAGACCAACTCATACTACATCACATGGCTTAATATTTAATATCAGTGTTTATTACTTAAAGTCCAGAGCAAGGGAAGAATGGCTCCCTGTCACTACTAAATGATGCTGGAGATATCAGCCACAACAACTACGTAAGAAACAAAACAGAAACTGAAAAGAAACAATTGCCAATAAGGGCATACATCCTTTTTACTCACCCATAAAAATCAAGAAGATTTACAGGTAAACGATGAGATTTAACAGAATTCTAGTAAGGTTTTAGGCTATAGATCAAAGGACAAAAACTGCCAGGGTGTCCTGTGTGTGTGTACTGTGTCTAAACAGGCAATTCAATTTTTTAAAATGTCACTGTATGCCAAGGATTTGGCTCAGTGGTGCCACCGCCTGCCTTGAAAGCGCAAGGTCCTGAGTTCGATCCCCAGTACAAAAAAAAAAGTCACTATAATATTAAAATTTGGGAACAGCTATCAGTAAATTTAAACAACTTTACAAAGACAAGTAAAACTAAAAGACACTTTTATAAAGAATATTATAGGATATTAACAAAGGATATTCCTTTTAACAAATGAATTTGGGACAACTGGCTATCCAGAAAAATGAATTTTAATCTTCACTTCATCATCTATAAAAATTAACTCAAAACAGGTCACATAGGACAAAACTGTTAGAAGAAAATCATGACTTGGGTGAGCAAAGGGTTCTTAGTATGTGTACTGCTGAAGTGAGCATGAGCAGAGTTCTTAGATATGACATAAAGCATAAAAAAAGAATAAACTGAAATTTTAAAAGCTTTTCTGCTCCAAAAGACACTATTAAGAAAATGAAAGGGCTGGGAAAATACTGTAAATCATATATAAAAGACTTATATTTAGATTATATAAAGAACTCTTACAACTCAGTAAGATGAACAACTCAATTTTAAAAATAGGCAAAAGATATGAAATTTAAATATGGAAATACATGTCACATTTTAAATAGTGAATACATGTAATGAA